GAACATTTCTGGAAAAATGTGAAGAAGATCCTTACAAATACTGAAACATGATTTTAAAAAGTTCTTTCACCTTCTTCTTACTTCAAATTCAACTTCTAGCATCTTATTTTAGTTTCTACTGATTTCACAAGTATCATGAAATTAATGTCAGTAGAGCTGCACTACTAGCAAAAACACATATTGCTTTTTATTCTTTTTTAATGTTATAAGTTTGTGTTATTTGTCATTGCTAAACCTAAGTATATCCCTCAAAAATCTAGCAGAAATTGTCCAGCATTTTTGTGGGGAGTGAGAGGATCAGAAAAAATCAAGATAAGTGTTACTTCTCATAGTCTGTAGTTCCAACTAAAGAATCCTGGCTTACTTTACATCATTCCTATGATAAAACATTAAAATTTCTGTAGTATATTAAAGTTCTCATCAATTGCAGCATTCTTGCAAATGAATTTCACTCAAGTCATTCATTGAAATGTTAATTAATTTTTTTTATGGCCAACAACTTTGGGGAAAATAGTTCTCCAGAATTTGCTCACTAATCTATTAAAATGTAAAAGTTTTAAATGAATGAATTAACAAGCACATATAGCAAGAGGAAAACTAAAAAATGTGACAGTTACAACACTTCATTGGTTACATTTTCCTAGGAAAAAAGTAAGAAAATTTATATAATATTGAATTAACTCATGAAAATTAGCATAAGTTTATACATTATAGGGCTGGAATAAGATATTTTCTAGGACAACATAAATTTAAATTTCAGTCTATAGCTAACTAGAAGACAAATGATTGCTACATTTTATGTAATATAGAAAGTTTGGTAAAATTTTTAATTTGACAGGAAATTTTATAGTTTACTGATTCTTGAAAATTCAATGACTATTTTATAAAAAAAAAATAGATATGCAATACCAGCTCAGAGCATTCATTAATTGCTGGCTTACTAGAATTGAAAGTGGAAAGTAGTGTAGATATTAATGCCTGAACAATTCACCAAAATATGAGAAAAATAAAATGCACAAAGGCGAGTTAGTGAGAGACACAAGTCTAGATTTCAAATTTGCCTTATGTCCTTGTCAAACCCTCTGTCCAAATAGGTAGCTTCTAAAAGTAGAAGACACCAATATAAAGTAAAACAAAACTGCACATTCTTTAAAAGAAAAAAAAAATCAAGAATATATATATATAAGCTGCTGTCTTTTATGATCAGGGAACTCAAAGTTCCCAAAAATAATATTACTTACTCATCAAAATATTCCATATATATCATCCTTCAACCTAAAATTTTTGTTTCATTAATTGTATAATCAAGATCTGTAGCATATATTACTTCCCCAAATTCTTATATTGAATAATTGCATGAATAAGCAAGCTGGATATAATAATGCTATCTATGTCATCTTTCTAAGATCAATTTTTTTTTTCAGGTGTAAGATTTCTTTCATTATCTATCATTTCATTTTTTTTTTTCATTATCTAATTTTAAGCTCACTCAGAGATTATAGATTTTCAGGTCTGATACAATTCATTTACTAAAATTTCCAGAAAGATTTTTTTAAATGAAATGCATTTTCATGTTGAGGTGAAGATGATGTGCTTAGCTGATAAAATACCAGCTTCTCACAGCATCTTAAATGAGTAAACCTCTTCTTGCCTGGTGATATGCATCTGTTTCTATAATTTATGTAGCGAGTTTCCTGCTGATATAAGGATATGAATGTTCACAAATTGAATATTAGTAGAAGGTAGATTTCCTCCCACTGCTTTTGGATACAATACTGACAATGAACAGTAGGAGGTAAATTCATCTCAATTCCAATTATAAATAGCATACATGGTTCTCGTCCATCTATTGTCTGAAAAAACAGGAAGCTACGTGAATTGTAGTAAAATAAAAGCAATTATAAAACTGTATTTCTAATAATTTTTATGGTTTACTTATTTCTCATTTTAAAAATTTCAATCTGTGTCTCAATGGACATTCAAAAAGATGTTTTCAGGTATCATTCTCAATATCATAGAAGGAAAACGAATATACAGTGTCTTCCAGTTGTTAATTTAAAAGTCACTATTAGTTTAAGAAGTCCAATTTAATCACATCAGTTTTATTTCAAATAATCAAGTGATTCAAGTGCTTTATTCCACTTTCAATCCAATATAATTAAAATAAATATTTTTTAAAAGGTAGAAGCAAAATTTTGAAAAGCACAAAGACTAAGCCTCAGGCTGATATAAAACTAAAAGCCAAACATACTCTGTGGACTTGAAGTGCATAAAAACATGCTGTGTGTCCTAGGATAAACGGCAGTCTCATCGTGTGCTGTGCTATGCTGTGCTTAGTCGTTTAGTCATGTCCAACTTTTAACGACCTCATGGACTGCAGCCCTCCAGGTTCCTCTGTTCATGGGATTATCCAGGCCAGAATACTGGAATGGGTTGCCATCTCTTCTCCAGAGGATCTTCCTAACCCTGGGATTGAACCCAGGTCTCCTGCATTGCCGTTGGATCTTTACCACCTGGGCCACCGGGGAAGTACAGTTTCATCTTAGGGCATATTGATTCTACAGGTCTATATGGATTAATGTTCAGTTCAGTTCAGTTGCTCAGTCGTGTCTGACTCTTTGAGACCCCATGGACTGCAGCACGCCAGGCCTCCCTGCCCATCACCAACTCCCAGAGTTTACTCAGAACTCATGTCCATTGAGTCAGTGATGCCATCCAAACATTTCATCCTCTGTTGTCCCCTTCTCCTCTTGCCTTCAATCTTTCCCAGCATCA